TACTGAAAGGTAGTAAGTCTGATATCAGGTTGAATCATAGACTGCAATCTATGTGTAAACATTGAAACCATTGAAATATCTCTCACTCGATTTCCTCTTCTGGAAAATTAGTATACTAGTTTGCCTCCCTGTCATATGTTGTAAAGCACATTTTTAGAGAGAACTGCATGATAAAAGGAAACTTTTAATAGCAACTTTAAATATGGTCATGACCTCCACCTGGTGGATCATATATTTTCCTAGATGTCAGACTCAGTTAACAGGATCATTTTGGTCTGATTATGTTTTCATTTCTTACAGACTTCTCAGATACAATTTGTTATATTTCTCAGGTATAATTTTCATTATAATTTCTCTGATTACTTGACATGGAATCAAGATGCTCTAGAGTATCTGTACTAGCACTGATGATTTACAACAAGCCTACTTTTGTGTTGCCTAGTTATGTTAGTACATTCTCTTTAAAACGCCAGTGGGCAGCAGAGTTGTCAAAGTTGGACCATAGAGATGAGAATACAATTAGAGGCTACTTGGCATAACCAAAATGTTTGCAGATCTCAGCACTGGGGAATAAAAACAGTCACGTTCTGACACAAATATTATTGGAAAAATATTTTACATTTCATGTATGACAACATGTATGTTTCAAAAGATAAAAAAATTCATCTGCTATTTGCAACCATTTACTTCTTTAAAGATGTCTGTGAGATCCTATTCAATTGTATAATACATACACACATTGAATGTCTTTAATTAGTAGGTAGAAAGGGAAAGCATGAAATGTAGCATGGTATGCTTGGCAGAAGCTCAGTGGGTGGACATAAAGGTTATTTTTTTCTTGTTTTGCTAGATTCATTTGTACTCTGATTTATCCCAAAATGACTAATTTGACCCAACTCCTAAAAAGATTATATGTAATTCTACAATTACATCTATGAAAGGTATGAATTATTAACACAATTAAAGCTGCAGTAGATACTTTATGATGAACTAAATGATTATATTAAAAGCAAAATTGTTCAAGCATTTGTAAAGCTCAGGTTATTATGCAAATAACTTATCTTTGCATTTTCTGTTATGTTCATCTGATTCATAATTTAAACTCATAGCCAGTTATGTCTGTTTCAGATTAATGAAAAATATTATGATGCAATAATAATAGCAGCTACTATGTTACACTGTTTTGCTCACTCTCCTTCATGTAGTTATGAATTTATAACTTAGAGCTCTCTGTGATGGAGGATGGGTATTAAAAGACAATTTACCCCCTTTAATGGTGTAACTCTTGGACTAAGATAAGTGTTGGTCTGTTCACTGTAAGTTCATTGTCTTATGCCATCTTACTTGTCAAAATGACAGCAGCAGGGAGCCTTCCACTGTTTCTAGACAGTCTGTCTACCTACCACTCCTTCCTAAAAGGAGTCTTCTGGCATCCAAGAAAAAGAAATCTGACAGCATGTTAACTGGTATAATTTTTAATTTTAATGTAGAATTCAATGCTATGTAACCCAATACCAGCAGAAAAAGCTAGGGCACTATTAGAACACTGCATTTGCATATTCCTCTGCTGTGGCTATCAAGACCAACAGCCTAATCCAGACTATGACACAAACTGAAAAAAACACAATACAAAATGCAACAATAATCCACATGTCTAGTTTCAGCTGTTCTAAGTTAGGTCTTCAGTGGTATCGAACCTCATGTGCAACAATATTTTACTAGTGACATTATTTCAAATATGAAATATTTCAAACAAGCAGCTAAAGACATACCTGTTCAGAAAAAGTACCTTTCAATATTAAATCAGACATAGGCAAAGAGAGCTACGATTGATCAGCATGGAGAAGGATCCAGGGAGATCTCATTGTGTCCTTCCACTACCTAAAGGGGCTTACAAAAGGGAGGGAGAGGGACTTTTTATACAGAAAGATAGTGACAGGATAAAGTGTAATGGTTTTAAACTGAAAGACAGTGTGCTTAGAATAGATGTTAGGAAGAAATTCTTTACTCAGAGGGTGGTGAGGCGCTGGAACAGGTTTCTCAGGGAGGTTGTGGATGCTCTATCACTGGAAGTGTTCAAAGCCGGCTTGTTTGGGGCACTGAGCAACCTGGTCTAGCAAGTGGCATTCCTGTCTATGGCAGATGATTCTGAAGGATCCTTATATAACTCAAAACATTATATGATTCTATGGAATAAACTCTTTACAACTTAGTATTATCAGCCAATAATATTATATAATGGTGCCCAAAAACCTATGTGGAAATCAAATCTGGGTGTGGAGGCCTTGTTAATTCTTGAGTCTATACAGCCTTTCATGGCTTCTGTTTAGTGTTTCAGACATACACGTGGTGGGGAAAAAGCAGAATGTAAGGAAGATAAATACTACTATAAATCAAACTTTTGAAGATATATTATGTTCACTCAGTTTCTTCTGAAAAAAACATGCACATTCAATGCAGGATGGTCTTAAAAAGAGATAAATTACAGCTGTACCTGTAAAACATTTACCATTGTAGAAGTCACTACTCATTTACCTTTAAAGTCATCCAGCTGTGAGACAAATTGGGACCAGGAATTGTTTTACTGCTGTGATGAGATCAAGATAAGTTTCCTGTTATCACAGATTACTACATTAAGCATAGCAGTGAAATACTATGACTGTGTTTCTCCTACTTAAAGCAGTGTCTGGATACACAAGAAACATGGTTACACATATCTTTCAAAGTAGATATGGTCCTAGATCATATGTGAAAAAATGGTAAGAATATTATTCTATCTTCCTCACTGAATGGTAAAGATCTGTTTCTGGGCAAGCAAATGTTACAGCTACACAATAAATCAACTGCAAAGTAAATTAATAGTTCTAAATATATATAGTTTTTTAACAAATTAGTAGATAGATGTTCCAACAACTGTTTTGTTAAACTAAGTATTTTTTTCCTATACTTTCTTTTGATTTCCTAATTTAATTTTCATAGTAAGGAAATGAGATAGGAAAATGGAAAACAGATTAGAAACACTAGAAATACCACATTATGTTGCACTAAATCAGGCTGATGGCAGGTTTGAGAGTACAGAATTAAGTAAAGAAAGCTAGATTCTTCAAATAGTTAACATACCATATAGCCTTCAATATGTAAATTGAAATCTTCATAAATTATGTAAATTATGCAAAGGATTTAAATGATGAAGAGCTTTAGTACTAGACTAAAGCTTCTACCTGGGAGTTTGACCCTGACTCCGGCCTAAGCCCTTTCACAATTTTTAGTGAATTCTTAGTCAATAGACAAAATGGCATATATATATATACAGTTCAGATGGATTTTGAAATGGATGGACAATTTTATAATGATGATTCTTTTCAGGCTTTCAATAGATGAAAAATGAGGCTCTGTAATCAAGTGAGAATGATGCCTCACCAAAACTTAGTAAAAGGCTACAAAATAGTTTGGGTTGGAGGGGACCTTTAAGATGGTCGTGTTCTAATCCCCCAGCCAAGAGCAGGAACATCTTCCACTAGAGCAGGCTGTTCAGGGCCCCCTCCAACCTGGCCTTGCCAGCACAGAGTGCAGGTGATAAGGTTCTACAATCCAGTCAACTTGGGCTGATGTGCTGGTTCCTACTTTACACTCAAAGAAAACTCATATGAACATACCCACACAAATGTTTGCAAAATGGTAATGCATTGATCAATACTAAGAATTTGCTAATGCTTATTAGGGTATTTTTAAAGACTGAAGAATAAGTGGCACATGAAAGATGTAATTATACTAGCTATTTGTTGTTAAAATATAGCTATTATCTGCTAGCGTATTTCTGAGGCAGTGAAAAGCTTTGTGTTATAAGGACATGATTAAATTTAATTTATACTATTGTGACACCAAATCAAATAAATTCTTTCTACAAAATGAGAAGAAGCATGGTAAATAGGAAAAGTAGAAGGGGGAATTCCTCAGTAGTTGAGCAACTGAAACAAAATAACAACTGTGACAACTGACTAATTCAATTACAATTCAATTTCAGACGATAATTGGCAACCTCAAGTAGTTTAAGAGCTCCATTCCCACCAGTACTCTAGCAAAATCTAAGTTTCTAACTACTTGCCAGCTGCCATGTCTGAGTTTCATGTTGAAAACTTTTATTTCAGCTGCCCCCCAAAACGCATTAAAAAATACAGAAATATAAATAATGAATTTATATTATAAATTATTATAATTAAATATTATATAATCTATATAATAATAATATGTTATAATCTAGGATGAGGCATGTTCTTTACTAACAAAAACATAAGCACTTCTAGAACCTGCTGAAACCAAAAAATCTTTTTATTTGAACAATTAAACTAGAAAATGAAGAAAACGTGAAACCAGAAAGATCTATCTACAGTTATTGGAGGTTTTTAATGTAGATTTTGGAATTAATATTTTGCAAGTATTTTGTTACCTATTTTCATAAATAACCAGCTCAAATGTTGTAAGGAAAGAAAATTGTAATGCTCAACACTTAACTCTTTTGAAATAACCACTATAAAAACCGCCATATTTATGCAATCCATGCTAACTGGTCAATATTGTCTCAATTGTTTCAGTTGCTTCTGCAATGATTTACATTAAAAATATTAAATCCTGTAGTACCACTTATATAGATAAATTGAAATGGATCTTCCAGGGGAAAATATTATTTCCTTACATTCCTTAATGAATTATGCTCAAACCCCCATTTTTTTACTGTGAGGTTACTGAAAGAATCAGGGGCCTGCAACTGAAATTATACTATGGTTCCATAGGTTGTTCAACAGAGTATTTACATAAGTTTTTAAAAGCGGATTAGCACCTTAGAGGACTTTAAATTTAAAACCCTGCATTTGTAGATATAGTACCAGCACAAGATGACTGGTTCTGAAAATAAAGCTTCCTTGTTTTGGTTCATATTTGAAGGATATACTGTAAATAACTGGAATAATCCAATAACTGTTCACTTAACTAATTACACTAACCTGTTGCTCTGGAAAGAAAAGGTAATCTGGGAATGGAAGAGCTGAAAACTTTTGCCTCTTCCAGGCTAAAATATCTGGATGGACTTCGACTTTCTTCCAAGTTCATAGAAGGACACTGCTTCAAGACAGTAGAATCAGCATAGGTGGTATTAAGCTGGGAAAGAGCACCTTGTGCCTTCTTTTTTTCTTTTTTAAGCATAGTTACTAGAATATCTACAAGACATATTAAGGAAATAATTATTTATTTTTTTAAAAGCAAAAATCATCATTGTCTGTCCATAAGCCTTTTTTTTTTCTTCAAAGTGAAACAATTCACATTATGGAAGCATATGTGTGAATATGAAATTAAAGATTGACATATTCTTTGCAATTATTTTTATCCACCTCAGTTTTTCCAAACAGCAGATTAATTCTTACTAAAACAATAACGAAGTCAAACATTGACCACAATTGCAGATCCCATTCTATTCACTCCAGATAAAAGCATTTACAAATAAACAGGGTCTAGTGCCATTGTGATAGTTCCTTTTTTATTTTTTCAAATTCTGTAATAAAAAGGCTTGCCCACAAAAGAAAAAAACCTCTTAATTTACAGGTAGCCTTGCAAGTGTATCCCATTTGTAAGCTTTTCACAAATGGTAAACTAAAATTCAGAAGTCTTTAGGAAATTTCTTGCAATAACACTGTGAATTTACTGGAAGTAAATTAGACAGAAATACATTTTGCCTAAGAGCTTATAGAGGACATATAATGGAAATCCTGCATGCATTTAATTACAAACACTGACGTCCCTGTGAAAATGTTTTTTTTAATAGGCTATTCTTTTTAATCCTAATTAATCTTCTTAATGAAGAGCAGAAAATCTAAGTCGTCTTTAGGGAATATTATTAACTGGACTAGGTAATAATAATATTAAAACACTTTCCAATTCAGTTTTTATGATAGCTTCCTACTTGTAGGCAAGAAACTCATAGTTTATTCAACAGCTGCCATACCTCCCATCACTTCATTACATTAGACATGTTATTAATGTTCTAGTGATGATGTACACTGTCACTTAGCCACTTCAGACTCCCTGTATCATTCTTGTCTTCAAAGTCTTCCTATATTCTTTCTATTTAATTCTTACATGGATTTACACAAGTTTCCTCCTTTTACTTCTGTGAGCAAAGCTGTATAAATCTGTCAAGCACAAGTGCATTTTATTTTGCATTTTTTCTTATACTAGTGAAATAATTTATTTCAGGACAAAATGTTTCTCGGAATTCAGATATTAAAATTTATATTAAAGAAATTGAAGATTTTTTTTAAAGGAATGAGTCAGTGTTTTAGCTAAATTTATTTGAAACTACACCTTGGAAAAACAAAATCTTATCATCTGTGACAGAGCAGAAACAGGGAAGCTTTCCTGACACTTCAGTTCAGACAGATAATATGCTACAGCCCAGTGAAAAATACCATTCTCATTTGACATTAAAAATTGAGCTGGAATTGTTGAGCACAAAGAATGCAACTGAGTTTGCTCTTTACTAATAACTGTGAAGATAGCTTTGGTACCTTTACATTCAACAACTCCATATTTTAATTTCTCTGCTGTATTACAAACTTTCCCCACTGAGTAGCCACAAAGCTACTCAGGGGTCGCAGTGGCTAGAGTTGCCCACAGGTCTGCAACCTGCTAAAATACCTCCCACCCATTGTGCTGCAGTGCAGCGACTCATGTTTCCTGTGAGGCAGTGAAGCAGACAAACTATGTCTAAGCAGTTTATCACTTTTATGTGCAAAAAGCTTTAAATTTAAATGTAAAAATTACAAGTTTTACATTTGCTCTAAGGGCAAATTGCCCAGAAGTCCTCAAAGCAACATTTCATTTGGCTAGAAATAACACATACAGACATTCTATTCTTTGTAAGGTAATATATTGGTCTTTAGATAGCATGAGAGCTTCCCCATCTAAAAAAGAGTTTAATTTGCTTGAACACAGTGTTTTAGGTGTGGCCTGATCCACAATATTTGGTTATAGGCTGGACCATTCTAAAGTTAAGTGGTGCTTGGACCCAGGATTTTGATTTTGGTAGAGAAGCAGGTGCAAAGCAGAAGTCGTCTCACATAGAAGCTGGGAATTGAGTATTTCCTTTAACACAGTACAGCCCCTTTCACACAAAGAAAAACGTTTCTAAGTCATCTCAAACCCAAATAATACTTCTTTCCTCATAAAGGATACTGATTTCATTGTCTCTTTGTTGCAGAAGCTCTTTCAGTTTTCCCAGTTCTTCATTTTGTTTTTTTTCTTCAGAGATGTCTTGTGAGAAAAGTTTTTTACCTGAAGTCACTGGATGGTTTATAATTTGCTATTAGAAGAAACAAAAAAAAAGCACACCCCATTAACTTTCCCTCCAGCTCTGTACTCTATTCTGAAAGAGTCTAGCTATAATAAGAAAGGTAAAACCTTTCTATACTCTTGACAGAAAAATATCATGCCACAGTTGACTGTCAAATTATATCCACTGTATCAAGTGTGAAACAAATTGTATTTTTAAATCTTCATTAGCAAGGGTGCAGTTTATTTCACTTTTTCTACACATAAACTCCAGTGTTCTTTAGTATGAGAGAACTTCCAGTACTAAAAATATAATTAAAAACTTATTATTTAAGAACAATAAATTAAGATCAGGAATGTGTAAACTATTATATTGGAAAAACTATATCCCAAAATACAGATAATACTTATCTTCTATAATTTCTATAATTTCATGATTATCAATTGTATCTTGTTTTCTCAATGATTCAGAAGGTCTTGCAACAACTTCAGGAAAATTAGTGTAACAGATAAAGGGATATAGTGTTTTTAATCTACATTTTTACCTCTTTCAACATAGTTTGTCCAAAATAAAGCCTCAGTAATGCTGGAAATACAGATAGGAACATCTATCCATATAAAAAGAACTTGTCTTGATTCCAGAAACTTCCAGTGCTCTCTCTTAGAATTTACTGCATGCTGGGATCTTTGCTGATGTTTCTACAAAATGCCGCTGAATTTTCCCAGCTAAATTTAAATTTTCTGTAAGATTCAAGGAGTCATCCACACACTTCAAAGTTCAATTGTTTGACCCTTTTCCAGTACCTCTTCACTGCATTGCATTTCTTTTAATGCTTTTCAACCATGAATATCTCCAAGTTATATTCAGAGTGCCAGCTGCACTTTAAACTCCTTTTAAAAAAGATACCTTCATATGAACGAAGCAATACTTGATCTTGCGCATGTCAGCACCAACATCCAGAGAGCTATCAGGATCTCTGTCTTTGAGAAATGTTTGAATTAACTCATCCAACCTGGAAATAACATTTTTTAAGAGAAGGAAAAAAATTCAGAAACATGCACACAACTCTGCAAAGTGGCACGTCAAATACAATGCAAAATATACCAAGCTGCCTGATATTAACAGGCTATTTTTCTTCAAGGTCCATGCATTTGAAATGTATTTTTGTTCTGATTAATGAAACCTGGATTTGATACTAAAGATTCTACAACTGCATATCTGAGCTTACTGACACATGCTAAGGAATAGTTCTAGAACTAAAAACATCTAAGAAGTAATATTTTCTTTTCCTCATTTATTTTGTAACCTTTTGCTCTTCTGCTATCTCATAGTTGAAAAGAATTAAAACCTGCTCTCTCAGAAGACTAGACTTTAAGAGGGTTTGGGCATTGGATTTGTTTCCATATACAATGATTTGTGCAAAAGAAAAGTCTACTTCTTTTTCTATTACAATAGTCAGCAGATAGCATAGCTTTCATGCATAAATTACCTGCTCCAATCACCAAGAAAAGTAAGCCATCTTTTAATGCAGATATTTATACATTTCTCAAAGATCTACTGTTCTTCCTCCAAGGAATGAAATGCAATTAGCATTTTATTACCTTGCAACGTGTTCTTTACAAACAACTGACCAAATCATCCTTAGGGAGAAACAATTATTTCAATAATTTGGTCTTCCTAAGACAATCTGGCACAGAGAAGCATCCTCTTTATTTTTCAAAACCAAATTAAAATTATCAAACCGGAAACCTATCAGGCATAATAGATCATGTTCCTTGCTGGATGTTGCATCCATACAGACAGAGCCAGGCTTCCTATTACATGCTGTCACCATCTTTCCAGGTCTTGTATCTCAGGATACATTGCAGTTCATTCTCAAGACAAATGGAAGGGGATTTCTAAGACCAAACTAGACTTTTAACCCACTTACTAAGGTATGTTTCTAGGAAATTGCAAGTACAAATTCAAACTCCATCAGCTGGTTTCAGATTTATGGCTTCCTGGTTCCTGACAAACACTGTTTCAATTATTTAATAGGAAATTGTGGGCAACAATGACAGGCATATACCCTGTAAAGCGTAATTTTATAATTTCAAATGTTTATTTAGGGTATCATTCTCAGAAGATGAACTTCAGTTCTGAGCCTGAGGTAGGGAATCTAAGGTAGCTGCATCAAGTGCCCAACTACCCAAGTAGGGCAAGAGTTCATCTCTGCACCTAGTGTTTCTTTTGGACTAGTTTTGTTCAGTTCCCTATTTAATATGCAAGCCTTCTGAATGTCCATTCGCAGTCTTGCGAATTGCAAATTGCAGCAGAGCAATTTATGCTCTTCAGTTACAGGACAGGGAATTTTGTGGCCATTTTATTATCAAAATCATTTTGTTGTAACCACATAGAAAAATTTTGGGCATTATAATATCACAGCATTCAAAGCTGACCCTAGAGTATGTTTTCTGGTATTTCCCTGCTTCTGAAGACTTCTCTCACTGAAATTCTTCACATTACAGTAATAGGAAATCTCTGCTGGAGAGCAAAACATTGAGATGCACAACAATCAGGAAAAAAAACCCAACATTATTTTCAGGAGGTAAATATCTGAAAATCAGTAGCTGCAAGACTGGAGTGAAAACTGGAAAACATAACAAAATGTTTTGGTATTTATCTCCTCTAGACATAGTAAAGTGGCTATACTCAAAACAGAAGAAAAAGAAAATAAGAGGGTTAGTTTCAGACAAACTTTGCTTTCCCATTTTCATCATTTCACTTAATTAACAAGAAATATATATGTTGTCTATTCCACTCATTAAATATCTAAAATTCACAGCTTCTGAATTTATACGACACTCCCTGAAGTCAATGTACATGAGCTGTACATGTGGAGAGCTTGAAGGAGAAGATATTTAAAGAGTAATATTAGCTATAGAAGTATTATTGGCATTGACTTGCTTCTCAGCTGAAGAGACAACAAAATTTACACAGTAAAAGAAACCAAAATCTCATTTATTGCTATGTAATTTTTTACAGCATTAAGAGTACAACAGAACAGAACCTATTAGTACAAAGTTACTCATACTCTTTGCAGACACACTAAGCACAAATAGCAGGAGATTTAATCCTTTATCCATGGAGGCCAGCATTTGTGTAAGCACTGGGAAAAGACAGGCATTTATACTGTTAATGAGAATATGATTGTGATTGCACAGACAAAGTAAGTCAGTATTCACCACTATCTTAAGCACCTTACTGGTTTCAGTAATTATGAGGAAACAAGTGAAAAATGTCTTTTGATAATTAGATTGTCTAGATTGACTATATAAAGTCATCTATAAAAAGAGGGCTTTATATTGAATTATGAAGGAGATGTTTTAATCTTTCAAAGATTATCTGGTTATCAGGGATTGACCCATACTCAGATTACAACAGATTTAGGCTGTGGGAATCAATCAAAAAAATTGCACTAACTTGCATAATTACAATTGCCATAATGTGAAGATATTTCAAGAGAAAGAAAGAATATAAAATTCCTGAAACATTATGCTCTACTTTTTGAAATTATTATTCCAGTCAAGCATCAAGGTTCATTTGTTAAGTGAAACAAATTAGACAAGCCGTAGTTATAAACCGCTATTTCCTCTAACATTACCTTTTTTGAATTCTTGATAAAACTCAACAGTCCAATTAATTTTTTGATTTCCAAGTAGTACATAGAAACCAAAAGAGATCTGAGCACCAAAAGATTGAGTCAAGTCTGAAATAGCACAGTGTAAATCTGAAGTTATAAATCAATTCAGCCTCTTTCCCAGCTGTAGGAAACCCTAGATTGTCAGTATACTTTTAGATAAATTTTCAATATTACATTGTTAAGAATGAGAACAAGAAAAGGAACAGATCATCCAAGTCTAAATGCTATGAATAAAACAAAAATGAAAATAAATAAATTAAAGAAAACCAGCCATGCAAATCTCCATGAATACTAGAAAAGAAATCACTGCCTCCCTCACGCTTTCAGGTTTCCATGAGCACAAAAAACCCCCAGAACTCAAATTTAAAAAGACAATGCTTCTTCATTTTCAGAAACATTCACAAGATTAATCAAGGATACAATAAAAAATCACAGGGCAAGGGAAAAAAATACAGATGAGAATAAGCATAAAAAAGGAATACAGACTGTACATTTACTTTTTTCTAACATATATTAGACAAGGTATATCTGTTTGCTAGGTGGCACAGAAACAAATGACAATAGAATTTACAAGATTAATATCCTTTTCTTCTCATATTCTTAACTAAATCAGTTTATTATTTACTTCTAAATACTCCATAAACTTAAATATATGTAATAGGTGAAAACTAAAGCAAAGAATTATATAAAATAGGGCTGTAAAAGATTTATGGAATTCATATAGGGCAGCTACAGTTACAAGTCCAACACATTCTTTCTGGTCAAAACCATGCAGAGGCTGTACTCATCCTCCAACAGAGAGTGAGAAAAACCTTTTTGGAAATAAAGGAAAGCCAAAATAGCTTTTGTTTTTCATTCTGTTACCTTCAAGAGATGGATAATACCATTCTCCTTAGCAAGAATAGCATCTTCTGATTTAGTCACCTATGTTTGATCCTTAGTTTTCTACAAGGAGAATGCACACTAAACTGTTTTTCTCAAACAAACTCCTTTTGCAAGAAAATATGTCAGCAAGAATTGATCCAGAAAAACAGATTAAACTCCCCAACACTGAATAAAGTAGGGTCTAGCTGCTCATAGAGAACTAGAAGCCTAGAGAACTTTCTATCAAATCTTGCTTTACTGGCCTACTCAGATCCATGGGTATGTGGCAGAACAAAGGTAATATGAAATAATGTGGTAAAATAAAAATCTTCTTTTTCTAAAGGACCATTTTTCAACTCAGTAGAATAACAAAAAGACATAGGAAATAAAGTATTTTGAGTCATCTTTTGTGGGTCAGCCCTGAGACCATACACCAACTCAGTCAGTACGCCCTATTTTCTGTAAAAGCTGTGAACTAGAATTTCTTTCAAAAAGACCTGAGCAATTAATCCCATTATTTACTTATGCTACTATGCCAAAGATAATGGTCAGTATTGTCATGTCCCCTCAAAACAGAAATTAGGAAATAAAGCTGCCCAAAAAAGGGCATTTTGATAATGAACTTCCTAAAGTAAAGACGATGCTGGAAACAGAATATATACCATGTTTGAAAAATTTCTAAGTATGTGACTGAGCTTTTCTTCTAGTCTATACCTTAATTCTTCCATTACACAAACTGCCAAAAGTCAATTGGAAGATAGCAATTTATTAAAATCATATACAGTGGTTCTACAATATGATTGAGAGTGCCAAGATAACTCATAAGCTAGAGGGAAGGAAAAAAAGTCCAAATGCTTTGGTTCAAGCATATAATGAAAAGCAACCAGAATCAAGAAGAAAAAGCATCAACTAAAAACATGCCAAAACCATTAACACTGCTGCTTACAGTATATTATGTTTTCCTTTCCTTAGGAAAGTATATTTCCTTAGGAAAGAATTATTATAAATAATATATAAATATATACAATAATATTATTTATAAGCTATTATAAATAATATAAAATATAAATTATAAATAATATAAAATATAAATATAAATCATAGGAAAGTATTTAAGACTGTATTTATGAAGATTAGTACTACAGCAGTTCTGGACCTCCCTGTCATATGAGAGATGGACTACAGAAGAAAAAAAATCCTGTTTTAACTTTCTATTTCTCAATCATTACTTAAAAAAATGATCTTTGAAAGGCATCAATTGATAGCAAAAAGAAAAATCCCTCAACTAAAATTAAAATTGAAGATAATCAAGCCAAAGAGCTAGTAATGAAACTGTTGTTCCTATTCCCACATTTTTGCCTAGGAGCCCCCTGATGTCAAGATTATGATAACTCAGTGGGGTGGGTGTGTGTGCATTACACTTTTCCATTCCAAGAGACGTTTCTGCCTTCCTTAGCAGACACCTA